ATAAGGACATGAAAACTCCACAGAAATTCGCACTGTCCCCATTTTTAAATTGTTGGCAGAAAGTCACCTTTTACCTGGACTCTGGAAAAAAGAGATGCATCAAATGGATGTCCAATGGTGATCGTTCAAGGCTCCAACTAAAACAGACAGGACAGAAGAATTAAAAGTCAAGGCGTTTTTTATCAAAGAATTTCCAAAAACAAAGCTAATCTCCCTGAGTTTAATCACAACATGATCAAGATGGATGACGGTCACAGAGACAGTTTAAAGTCCTTAAACTGTGAAGAGGAATTTCTGTGTTTGGACATCACCAGCCATCGTCAGATTTAGAGGACACGTCTGACTCTTACTGAGAACTTCACGGAAAAATAACTAAAGAGATTAAGATTGAAAATTCGGACTTCTTTGTCTACGCACATTAAATTACCAATAACAATCGCTTCATAAAGCTCTAAAGTTAAGTATAGACTTTTAACATTCAAGACAAAGATTTTTTTTTTTTGGGGCCAATCGGCGCAGTCAACTCAGCCAAGAATACTTATTATCTCACATTCATTCGATGCGTAACAACATGCACACATATGCTATGACCCAATGTAATGCCCAGTTCACGTGTGACAAAGGGGTGGAAATGACATTTTTCCAGTGAGTAAACGGATCAGCTTATCTGGATAAACTACACGGTTCAGCACCATCCGAAGCAAAAACCCTTGTGGACATCATTTCTGTTCAGACTGGGCAGAATGAAGAGGAGACAAACTACTACTTGCACTTCATACAGTGTCTTAAATACTGGAGTCGTTATCAGAACCTGTTAAAAATGTCAAAGCCAGAGAATCATCTTGAAGCCTTGTGATGACCAACATGAGGCATAACCAGGGACCATTGAGCTACTAGATGAGCAGCTTCGTTTTAATTGTATCAGCAATACCTGCAGTATTATATCAGCAATACCTTCAACAGAAGGGCGAACTCCAAAAAGGACGAAGCACAAGTGGAAAAATTAAGACAGACGTTAAGAGGTTGGATTTGAAATAGATGAGAACAAAATGAAGGAAGAGATTTCAAGTGGCCAAAATTCCAACTTGATACTGCATGTGGACGAAAGCAAGATCAGCCTGCTCTGTGTAGCCTTACCACGCCCTCTGGTTTATTCTTATCGGTGTGAAAATGTTTGCACTGGACCCACAGGTCAACATTGGCTTGGTCTGTTTGTCAGCTACTGTGTCCAATCTGAAGTCTGGCCTAAATGTAACAATCATGATGAACACCTCATCATGAGCCCGAGGGAACTCACAATATTCAGTCACTGCTTTACAAGGCTAATGCAATCAGAGCCCACTGCACTTAAAGTCTAAGCCTGCACCTGTCAACCTGTCAACCTGTAAAGACGTCTAGTGTTTTGGACAAAACATGTCCTCAATCCATTCTTCTGTAACTTAAAGTTACTACATGAAGAGGAGTAGAGAGCACTGCACAACCTCCTTCACTGTGGTTTTACTGCAGAATTAATCTGATCCTTGTAAAATCTGGCATTTTCATGAATGGCCATTCCCAATGCCAACAATTTTAAGGAGAGTAAGAGATCTGAAGAAATGGACGTCTCACTTGAAAGCTCTACAAAGCCTGTAGTAAGTAGCTTTGAACCCTGGACTGGCTCATCTCTTAAAGCCACTGCACAGTTATGGATAAGAAACTTACATAATCATCAGCCCGGACCTGTCAGAACTACAAACGACTTCAAGACTCAAACCTCTCATGGCCTCTCTGAGATACATGTCGGGATCCTGTTTGGACAATGGAAGTGATTGAATGAAATAAAGGAACAACAGAGAATGACCTGATTAAACACCTGAACTTCAGTGTGACAGTGAAAACCAGGGCGTTTTCCTCCTGTGCCTCTGAGAGAGGGATGATAGAAGATTTGGTGATGTGATGTAGACCACTATCTTAAAGTCAACTCCAACAATCACTGAGTGAATGAAGAGAGCTCAGATTGATTCGGGGTATAATAATAGAAGGAGCATGGACATGCCATGGTTTTTTTGTAAGTACCCATGTGTAATGCGTGGCTTTATAATCTTTAATCTGCCTGAAAAATTCTTCTGTTCATTACTGGTTTAAATTTCTTTTAAGAGTCAACAGGTTGATTTTTATCTTTTACTTTCAGTCTGTTTCTTGAAACACTTGAATAACATGTTAATGTATCCAAGACACATTAATAAATGTTTTGTACATGATGCTGTTATATGAACGCTTATGATCTTAACTCTTCCACACATTCCACAGATCTTCTCCCATAGAGAAACGTGACCTTGTTGTTTTGTCCCACTGGCCTCCGGGGCCAAGCTCCTCTAAGGATGGCTCACCTCCCAAAGATCACAGCCCAAAGTCAAAGAGTGGTAAATATATAATTTTTGTAATCAAATGTGCAGTTGTTTTTTTATATGCCATCATTTAACATGCCTCTCAGCCATAGGCTTTTATTCTAATTTTTTAATCTCCTTGTTTTTTTTAGAACATAGCTCAGATGAAGAAGACTCATCGGACAGCCGACTCTCAAGGACGAATAATCCAAGATCGTTGCCTGAAGACAGAAAACGGGGACATATGGACAAGAGGATGTTCAGGTACATTTCTTAAAATACCCAACAATTTGAGACAAAGTTCACCTGTTAAATGTGAGATTTTAGCTGGAAGTGTTTTGCTGTTTCTGACATTCTCTTTGTTTTTCAGGCCGTTTAATGTGATGGTGGACGGCAACAGATCTGGGAGGCCCTTCAGAAAACCAGGACCACCACCCTTTCAGGTGAGTGAGGCGTTTGATTTAATGGACTGTGTTTAGCTCTGTGTGATGAAACCATAAAGAATCAGTTGTACAATGTACAGGGGTCCGGCCTAAACTCTAAGTTTCAAGCTGTAAACTTAAAGTTTAATTCTTGATTGTGTGGAAATACTAAAAGTGTGTGAGCTACGGGTGTTTTTGGTAGATTTAACTATTTCAGCAGTATGATCACTAGACAATGAAGTTACATTTACATCTGCCTGGTCTTGCTTTAATTTTAAATGATTAAATGACAATAAATGAGGGTAATTTCTTACTTTATGTATTCAGTGTTCACTGTTGTTTTACAGAGACCGAGGTTCACTGGTGGTCCAAGGAACCCAGGTCCTGAAATGTCTGGAAATGTAAGAAGACCGCTCATGGTATGTTTACCCCTCTTCAGAGATATCTTGCGTTTTTTAAGGAAAATTCTTTTAAAATGACTAATATGTGAATTTATTTGGGTTTTTTTCTTATCAGGAGAGCTTGGTGCCACGTCCTTTCCTAAATCAGAGACCCGTGTTTAGAAAAAGTTATAATATCATGTCTAAATACCGCAACATGAGAGTGATGCGTCAGCGTGCGCCATACAACAGAGGACCCAACCAACAACGCTGGTGACAACCTCCGGTAAGAAACTGTCCTGACGTCCATCACCAGGTCATAAGTAGGCCTGTTCAGTACATAGTATGAATCGGCTTTGCTACTTTATCCCTCATTTAACCCCTTGAAGTCTGTAATCATCCACTAGCGTTTACATTGGTATTTTTGCTTACTGTGATGTCATTTCTTCGAATTAAAAAGGTTATGTAACTCAATAAATCATGATTATATAATAGTCATAAAAGTACTTGTAATATTGTATTACATTAAAAAAATGTGGATGTATTCACTGTGGTTTATTTCTGTATCCCAGCACAGTCTGCAGACGTGACACTGGAAAGCAGACAACGTTGAGATTTCTTCGGCTGGGTGGACTGCACAAACCCTTCTCTCAGTACAATCCCAACCTGCTTGTATATAAGGAAGTGTGGTTGCTTACACTTGTTCTCTGGTACTTGTGTTTCAGTTTCATCTATGAAGTACTGCAGGACTTTGTTTTAGAAGATTAACACATGCTATTATATGAAATGCTATTGTCTCGTTTTTTTCCTGACGTATTTTTGGATTTGGGAATTGCTGCTAGTGATCTTGGCGTTCTTTATTTCACATAGTATTATCATTTTTTGTTTGTTTGTTTACCAGTCCAGCAACATTTGAGTCCAATCCAAGAAATGTTTACTTTAACATCTCACCTTCATCGCTTGTAAAAACGTATCCAATGAGGTGTCTTATTTTATCACTCATGGGTGTTTCTGATTAGGAAACGTGGCCCCTCAACTGACTCTTGGCTACTACTACGTACAACTTGTATAATCACATGTTCAGTTTATTGTTTGAGACTTGAAGTAAAAAACGATTTAACAAACTTCATTTCAGAGTTGTGTTTATTTTTAATGTTGATTTGAACAGATGCAGAATCAGTTCATTAGTAGTGCTGTTGTTTTAAATGCTGTTTGTCTGTCAGCAAGATTCTGCAAACACTATTGAACCAATTTTACTGAAAGAATGTGGAAAGGTGCAGTATGGGCCAAGGAATAAACCATTAGCTGTTGGATTGGATTAAAGGGGAGGATACAGGAGTTTTCAGGCCAGTGTCTATGGTCGAAATGTCTAAGTCTTAATCAAACCTCATACTATTTTATGTCCTCAGATAGATATTAGATTTTAAATTTAATTACTACATTCAATTATTTACTAAATTCCCTTAATTACTGTTCAATAAAATTTAAATCAATACTCATTTCAGGGTGTGGCAGAACTTCAAGCACTCCAGCAATTTGGAATTGAATGTCCATAAAGTTGCCGGGAGGAAAAGAAGCAGGGGTATCTTGACTCTAATTTATATTCCCAGTTTATCCCAAACATTTTGGGCCTAAATTTCCCATAATGCATGTATTTATTTCAAACCCTTCTCAAAACCAACCACCCCCACCCTATAATATATATCCAAATGATTTTGCAACATGGCAGAATAATCTGTGATGAGTAAACTGGACTTAATGTGGGAAATCTTGGTTGTCCCTTTAAGAGCTGTTCAGGAGAGCCAATCAGAACTTTTCACAATAAAAGCAGATCATGTCTTCTGCCTCCTGTTTTCTGCAGTGTAAACATCAGTGACTTCATTGTCTTTGCCCCTTTAAACCTCTGCTGCTGCCCTTCACTCTGCCCCGGTGATATTTGTGAGCGGGGCACTATTGCTCCACTCTGTCCTGAGCTAAACTTAGACCTGACAGTAGCACCCTTCATCACAACATGCTCTGACCACCACACTGGGTTACAATGGAGGGTGTCCCATGACCACAGGTGCTGCTGTATCTCACTGGTGACACTAGCAAAACAAGGTGAGTGTTTGCTCCAGATCCTTCGACCGCAACTCACAATAATCTTCTAAATGGTTCAGTATGTTCACTAATGACTGTTCAGATCTGTCACTGCATCTGTTCCTGCATTTGCTGCACATTTGTTCACTGCATGACAGGAACAGCTGTTTGTTGAGAAACCCCCAAATTCTGTTTGATAAAGAAGCATCCAAGTCTGAAATGGCTAAAAATCACAAAAAGTAGAGAAGTAAAGAAAAGAAAAAAGTTGTTCTCAGAACTTTTCAATGTCTTTCAGATGTAACACGAGGTTTTACTGAGCTGACTGTTGAATTCTGCTCCACTCTGTCTGTAGATGTAGATTTAAAGTCTCTGCAGGTCTTTCTGTCTTTCACTGCACTTGTATTCCTCATGGGCAGCTACAGCTCAGCCCTCATTCCTGGTAAGCCTCTCAACCATACTGCTGTTTCATCTGTGGCAAAGTCATGAGAAATAAAATGCTACCGTGCTGCATGCTTGAAAAGAATGGATGTTACTGTATTCTTTAGAATTGGGCCGATATATTCTATAACGATGGGTTTGAATTAGTCCTAAGAGGGTTTTCTTTAACATTAATTCTCCGTTTTTCTCAAAGACACTGAGGAGTTTGCCTCTATTGTGTCAGTGGCGGAGAAGCTGAATGAGCAGATAGCTGGTGCAAGAGATGAGAGGTTACAGTCAGAGCTTCAGACTCTGGGAAGTATACATTTGAAATTATATATTTAGAATCCAACCAGAGCAATGTTACATTAACCACTTACATACCATTGTAACTCAGCTGAGTGTGTGGTCTGGTCTGTTTGTGTTTCATCTGTCCTTGAGGTAAATTTAACTTCTCTGAGCTGCCTCTCTGACACACACTGACACACACAGCAGAAGATTCTCACCCTGTATTTAATATTCATTTCACTTTTCACTAGAATAATTTGTTTCAATAGTTTCTTTGGAGAGCACCAAACTCTGGGACATTTGTTTTATATATTTAGAATAGAATTTAGATGTACTTTACTTATCAGACATCTCAAACTAGACTCAACTTACAGGCAACACTCATGATGGAGAAGGAAAGAAAAGAAAACCTGAGTGAAGAGCTGGATGCTTCAACACTAAAAGAAAACTGTCAGGAAGCAAGTCACAATGGCTCTGCCCTGCCGGTGAGCGTAAAGAGAAAAAAATACTTGTAATTATTATCTCAGATTTCTGTCAAATAATAATGTTGGGTTATTCTCTACAGGCAGCGGCACCAAAAAGTGAGCCCATCCCATCCTTCTCCTCTCTGTTACCAAAGGCTCTCTCTGCTGTGCTGCCCCCGGGCCTCAGGTCCGACCCCCGGCCGAGCAGACATCCAGCAACACACACGTCAGCGAACCTGGATGAGCTGCAGACGGAGCTGAGGGACCTGAAGGACCAGTTTGAGCAGATGAAGAGTCAGCACAAGTACGGCTTTGTCGCTCTAATCTATGTTCAAAATCTGTGTTAAATGGCCCGCCTGTCCCATCCCTGCACCCCATCATTTGGTTTTGCTGAACTAATGTGACAATATTTGGTTTTTCCAGCAAAGAAATCAAACTGCTGATGAACGAGCTGGATGAGGAGAAAAGGATCCGCTTGACTTTACAGGTGAAACTCGAAAGAAACGAAGAACAGTGGAATCTGTGTTTTCTGAGCTGAGAACATTAGATTCAATGTTAGAAAGTACTCTCATGGTTTGTTTTGTGGTGTTTTGTTGCAGATGGAGATTCAGCGTATGAAGAAGCACATGTCTAAATGACTGAAATCAACATCGGAGACATGAGATCCTGATTTGACAAAAAGAACTATGTTTAAATATCCTGTTGAACCCATATCTGATAAATATTTTTCTATGCTTGAGTTAAAAAGAGTAAAACATATAAATATTATATACACATACTTATATAACATTAAAAAATACTTAGGTTAGGTCATTTCATTTACTTTTTTGTGAGACTGCTGAATGAACAAAAGGACAGAGTATTTTTGTTTTTGTTTTTTAAAAATTGAGGACGAATGAATTTACATTGTTTAAAATGGCTCAGATTTTAACCAGGAGTGAAAGTCAAATACAGTCCCTTTCCCAGACAAACACACATATAATATATATTTTCTCTTAAAAACACATATACAGTATATACACCGGTATATCACATTGAATTTGTAAGTAAATTTTTGGCTGCCATGTGATTTCTTTTCTCTTTTCCTTTTTGTTTTCCTGTGCAAGGCAGCTGACAGCCTCAGAACACACAGTAAAGTTTTTGACACAAGGTTTGATTGTGCCTCAGAAGTTGAATTCTTCACAGGTAATCGGCCTGAATGTGACCTCTGTGTTGTCCTCAAGAAGGATGTCATATCGACAGAGAGCCCTGTAACATAGAGATCACGTATAACTGTTAATAGAGCTGGGAGAAAAGATTAATTCGACTATAAGAATGACGGAAATTACGGCTCAAGTAGGTCAAATTAATAAGATATTGCATTTTAAAAAATATGTTGCTTACGTTTTCTTCAGTTCCAGATGCGTGAGACGGATTCGCAGAACACGGAGCTTATATTTGGATTTAAGCAGGTTCTTAGTGGAGAACTTGACGGAGATTTTGTCCACTGACTCAATGCCTTTGTCAAACTGGGCGAACAACTTGCTCTCTGTGTACTTCTCAAACTTTGATGATTTACTGTTGTGAAAAAAAAAACACATTATACAGAGAGAACACAGTAATACACCGACAAAAGAAGTCATAGTTTATGCATTATAGTATTATTAGTAGTATTGGTGCGTTATGATAAATGGAGAGAAGGCTCACTGGTCAATGGTCGCCACTGCTTCTGTACCATTATGATGAAGTTTAATGGTCATGTATCCACACTGAATATTGGTGTTCCATATCACCACATCCACTGTGTAGCCTGTAGCTAAGAGGAGACAAAAACACAACACGTTCATCCTTCTGACTTTAAAATATTTCTCTTCACTGAAATGAGGTGTACTCGGAATCAAGTTTTGAATTTCCCTTCTTTATTTTCTGCTCCTAAACTGCTGGTTCAGTGCATTCTATCCTTTTCTATTCTAGAATGTGAGGTTGTTCTTCATGCTGTCATATTAAAGGATCATTGTGTCGGATATTATTTGTTTCTTTTTCTACAAAACTGTTCAATTGTCCTTGACTCGGTTCACAGACTGGAATGTGCCATCACATTTTTTAGGGATTATTTGATCAAATCCTGTTTTTCCTTTGAATGTGTTTCCTCAAACTATTGCAAGAGATGCAGAGATTACATTACTCTCCTTTGTCCCCCCCCCCCCCAGTATGATTGTTATCATGCATGTTCTGTTACTCACTGCAGAACGGAGACTCTGGATTTGTTGTGAAGAACATTTTTGTTTGGCCCAGTCCCACCAGGCTGTCTTTCCACTGTGCGACGTCATAGCCTGTGTTTGAGCAAAAACAGCAGCGTCAGGTCAACAATAACATTCTGTAAATAAAGGTTTCTATTCAGAAACATTTACAGACCTTACTAATACTCCAAAGAACTTTGTACCTGAAAATATCTTGTGGATTCTATCAATATGGAAAATACCTCAAATACCCAATACTGCAATATTCAACAAACTGTACAAATCATTCTACACTCAAGAGTTTATTCTGAGTGTTCATATTTTAATATTTATTGTGGAGATAAACAGTTTGTTCTAATAAAAGTGCATCATTGTTTCTGTAAAACTTGTGTGACAGTAAACATCTTGAATCACACACAATTCATGTTTCCATTAACAGTAGATCTTATCTTTACATATTGTTTTCTAGTAAGTTCTGAGAGTAAAAAACTAGATGATGTGAGTACTAACCAAAGACAGGACACCCAGCAGCACCAAACTGCTCACAGCTCAGGCAGTTTCCGTCCAGAAAGTCGCTGTAGGACGAGCAGGGGAACGCCCTGATGGAACACGTCTGATTCACCGAGCCGAGGAAGAGGAACACTGATCTCTGGTGGTCGCATTTGAAATAAGAAGTTCCTGTACAGAAGCAACATGGAGAAAGAAATGTTATTATTATGTTTGTATCCTTGAAACACAAGTCCCATGATTTTACAGGCTGTACCAGAGAAGATGGTCTTTGGGCAGCCGGGTTGGTCAGTTCCTCCATTTGGGTAGAAATCAATGTGACCCAAAGGCTCCCTGTAGCCCAGAGCTGTGAACGTGAACATGAGTGTTTTACACATACAGAGAAAAAGAAGTTATACAACATATCTGAAATAGTTTTGAATATATCTGGCTGAAATTCAGCTCAACTCACCATCGATGTCTGTGTGCAGGACGTCCACAAACTGGGCATCAGTGGAGTCCAGTCGCAACTCTGGTGCAGTGCCAGTGAACTGAGGCCCGGCAGGATCCAGAGCTGCAAACATCACATCAGCAGACCTCAGGTGAAATGTCCCTTTATTTCTGAACACAACAGTAAATGATATAGGTGCTGGAGAGGCTGTGGCTCAGGAGGTAGAGAGGGTCATCCACTAACCGGACGATCAGTGGATGAATTTATGAATTTGTGATCAGTGTGATCAGTGTGATCAGAAAATCAGTAATTGTGGATCAGGAAGAAACAAAATGATCTGAATCCATGTTCCAAAATGAGTCGTTCTTACCTGTAATTCTTCCAATCGAGCCATTCAGGTTGGCTCCTACGAAACCTGATATATGAGCTCCGAGACTGATTCCAATCATATGGATGGAGCTCAGAGATGCCCCGTGTTCCTGAGGAGATCATTATTACATCGTGTTACACACAGCAGTCTGAGTAACATGAGATCACAGAGAGTGTCAGACCCATCTCATACCTGCATCCTTTCAGCGAACCCAGTGAGGTTTGCTGCTACCTCCTGCAAGTTTTCCACCACCTTTAAATAGTTCACATTGGTAGCTCCATGGTTCCAGTCTACCACTATGACGTTGGTGTCCGTTCTGGCCAGCAGCAGCTCCACGCTGCTGTCCATCCACAGAGGAATAGACCCTGTGGGCCGATACCCGTGAATAATGAAGGTGGTGGGTCGAGACAAGTTGAACTGTGGGTGGGCAGACAGGTTGGTGTGGGACAGGAGCGTGCCGCAGGTGACATTTTCCCTGGTGAACAGCCGCAACTTAACTTGGACGTTGGTGCCAAAGAACGCGTGGCCAAAATTCAGTTTCCCCAATTTGTCACATATGTGAGCCGCTGAGGGACGAAGAGATAAAAAGAGAGACACTTTTAAATAAGAATAAATTAGACACAGGAACATTAAGATTTTACAAGCTTTGCTGAAGGTTGCGTAACCTATTTCATGACTTATCATCCACAGTTTCTGCCTGCATCAATGACATCATTTACAAATGACTCAGAGTAAATGACTAGCAATTCTAGAGTGAAACCCCCGGACAGATATAAACAAGTTCAAATGGGAAAACAGATAATGAGGCAACCGTGAGGTTTATGAGAGGGTCTGACTTATAATATGGGATCAATCTCTTTTTCTTAAACTGGAACAAAGGCTTTCAAAACTTGTTATCTAAAAAATGTGATTCGAAGAGAAAAGGATGAAAATTGAATTATTTTGAATTTGAGTTTTCCTAAACTGCAGTGCTCTTTTTTCAAATTTTTGAAATGTATCAGTGTTCTCCCAGTGCATCGGTTTATTTTCCAGATTTGAAACCTTGTAAATGCTAATCTGAAAATTGGTGCACGTACGTTGGAAAACAATTCTGAAACGTTAGAACTGAAAGGGTGACATACATGCCCACTCCTATTGGTGTCTGTTGTTTCAGAGTTCAGTTTACAACACACACTTTTCAGTTTCGCCATACATTTTGTTAATTTGCAGCTTTGTCCTGCAACGCTGATCGGAAACTGATGGTCTGAAAAAAAGCCAGGATCCAGAAGGCAGGGGCAGATTTTAAAGAAGGAAAACTCAAATGTAAAAACATTTTCAGCAGATGATTGTAATGGAAGTTTCAACTGTCTGTGAAACCTTGTGTCCTTGACCTAAGAAACAAATGCATCTGTGACCATTAGAACTGGCTTTGATCCAGTGCTGACTGTGCTAACGGAAGTACCATTGTTCATGGACTAGAAAGACATTACATACAAGGTTTCACAGACAGTTAACATTTCTATTACAATCATTAAATTATACAAGGCTTCTTAATAAATAAGATTACAACATTTTTAGTTTGGGAATATGACACACGTTTATTATCCCATAGCCTAAAGTCACTGTCGTGCTTTGTTTGGGTCAACATGAACTGTCAAAACAGACAGTTCATCCAAAGTATTACCACATTGAGGAAAAACAATCAGCTGCTCTCTGTAGCTGTTACACAATAAATCATCATATGGCTGCATATTCAGTATTTCAGCTGAAAAGCCTGATACCACAGTTCAGGTCATTTTCTCACAACATGTTGGCTTTCCAAAGAAATGTCACTTCCTCAAATTCTTCCTGACTGTTTCCCAGAAGCTGCTGTTGTATCGCTTATTGTCAAATTGACTGTGTATGGAGTGCATGTTATACTTGTGTCTGTGAACATGCATCATGCCTTACCTTCACATATCTGAGCAGCTATCAGCAGGAGCACGGTCAGATAATTCCACAAGAACATACTTTACACCAGCGACGGGCAAATAATCTACAGACGAGAGTTATCAGAGTCAGATCCTCACATGAAAATAAATCAGTCAGACATTAATTAAAGTTATTAAACGAAAAATCACATGGATGTAAACACACAACATAAAACTGTTGTAAAACCTTTGAGACACTTTTCACTGACAGAAGTTAGTTACTTATCTACTCACCTCTCAGTGTAATTACTATGTGCTCCTGACTAAGCTGGTGAAAAACTGTTTTCAATCCACGGAAAATCTGTATTCTTATTCTGGCTCCACCCACTTGGATTAATCTCAACCTATGACATGGTGATAACAAGTGAAACTGAAATCTGCCGAAATCGCAGTCTGTGTTGCAGTCTGATTTATTCTGCTACTGTCGACACCTGGTGTTTACAGCACTGCACAGTATCTCCCTGTGGTTCAACCAGCAACCTTTACTTTTGACAATAATCAGAGAGTAACTTCAGTGTCATCACAGTCTCACCTCTGCTGCTGGGTAATATCTCAGAGGTCCAGAGTATAACAACAGGCCGTCCTTTGTTTGTCCCTCCACATATTAGTGCAGAGATCAGGAAGTGAGAGGAAGCACTGTAAAGAAATACTGCCACCCTGCATGCTCTCACAGGGAAAGCCCCACCCCTTTGCTCCAGGTCATTATGTTCACAGGTGAAAAATTCCTGTGAAGTCACTGATCCATGTGTCCTCAAACCAGTTGGGCGGCTGTTTCTTCTGTTTCTGTTGAACTTGATTTGATTCTATAAAAGAACCTTAACCATGTTCCTGTGCGTTGAGTCGACTCTTATTCATGTGGAAGATGTTAGAACGAAAGTAAAACACATGAAGAACATTTCTGTGAACTTTCCTGAATGTTCCAGTTGCTCTGGGTGTCTCCTGCATGTTCACAAAGAGGTTGGATTAATGTTTAAATTCATAAGTAACTACAACAGCACTCAGTAGAGCAACATACATACGCCAAGGCCCAACAGTGTCTTTCAATCCAATCAAGCTGCACCAAATCTCACAAACTCATAGTAATCAGTTCACTTAATGTGCCTCATTTCTCTCTCTCTATCAAGTTCCATGAATGATTCCCTGAGTAATGTGAAACTGTCGATGAAAGCTCCACGCCCTGACCTGGATCCACACCACAACAGATTCTTCTCTGGTTTGTTTCCCACCACTTTACAAAAATGGCATGGAAATTGGACAGGGGTGAAAACATAACCTCCTTTACAATCAACAAAAACAACATTGTGTTTATGCAACCATTCAAAAAATATTCATGACAATGTTTGAGAAGTTTCCTCTATGAACACAGAACACACCCTTAATTACATTCAGCAGCCATGTGTCTCACTGAGGCTATATTTACACAGTGATCAGTCCTGGGTGGGATTGTATGAGTTTTTAGGGGAGAGCAGGGAGGAGCTTTAACTTTTTCTGTCTCATGTCTTACTTTGTATTATTTATTGTATTTAAAAAAAAATCTGTTTGAATATCAAATATTGCATCTTTTAACTTTTTATTCACAAATGACAGTGGCTGTATTTTCAACATGTTGATCATAAATACGTTTTTTGATAAGTGATATTAATTATATTGATTGTTATTGATTGTTATTGATTATGCTAGGGAACAGCCCTCCCTTTTAGAAATAAACATTCCACCACCCTCTCCCTATTGCTAGTGATTTCTCAGAAGATTATTCATGAATCTTGATGAATAAAGATAAAAGATAGATGTTTAGAGAACTGATAATTATTAGTGTGTGTGTGTTTTGATGACAAAAATGTGGATCTAGTGAATTGACATAAGGGGACTGTTGGACCTTGGCGGAGTTATGCGTTCTACTGATTGACATTTTAGTTTTGGTATCTCAATCTAACATATTTATAATAACAACACTAACATGTTGATGTTGCAGCTACATGTTCACCATGTTAGCAACAGAAGTAGCACTCAAAGTACATCTAATGGAAATGTCATTTATTTTGTCATAAACCATAATGTACTAGACAGATTGAATTGTTGACGTGATGATGGCGCTACAAATGAAATGTTAAGGCATCACCAAAGTTACAAAAATTCATGAACTTCTGTATTAAATTTAATGGAAACTCATCGATTAGCTGTGGAGACAGTGTACTCAAAACCACAGATGTCAACCTCATAGTGGTGTTGATGGAGGAGTCAGTATATAAGCTTCATCCTCTGGGCACCATGAATGTCAGAACATTTCACATGAATCCACTACAATAGTTTTTGAGACATTTAAAGGTCCATTGTGTAAGATTAAGGTGAAAGGGATCTATTGGCAGATATTTCATGTAGAATAATCCTCATGATGTTTTCACTAGTTCATTTCATCTATTCAAATACTTTATATTTACATCGAGGGGACCCTCTCTACGGAGGCCGCCATGTTTTTTACATTAGTCCAGACTGGATAAACTAAACACCTTTTGAGTTTTTATGACAATAAAAGGCTACCACAGGTTCTTCTTCATGTTTGGAAGGAGAGGGTGAGGTGAGGGGTGATCAGCTGCAACATGCAATTTCAACAGTAGATATCACAAAATTCGACAACACTGTTCCTTTAATCTAATGGTTTTGCTCATACGGCTAAAAATTCTTTGCTTGACATATATGTCCAAATAAATACTAAAATTGAAAGCATTTCTGCACATGCATTTGAGACTATGTAATATGATTTGGTTGTTTTAGACAGTACCTGTGTGTAAATCTTTTAACAGCAGGGTCAATCTGCAGCTGGTGCTACAGAGTCAACAGTGTATATGATAAAGTAGCAGCTGGTGTAAAACACTAAATGTGCTATGACATGCAGCGACACGTTATTGATTTCAAGATGTACCCAAACTGCTTTGCTGTGGGTAAGTTCTGACAGTTTAGTGCAATGTTGGGACACTTTGTGCTTCAGTGTTTGGTTCCAAAGGCTGCAAGTTGTGAAAGCTCTGGACCATATATCATACTTCCTACACAACATAGTCTCGAAGGAAATCTAAGAAATGTTTCACAACATGAATTTGAACTTTCACCTCTACCTGGACTGTTCCACGAAGACCATGAAGTTTACTAAAAGTGTGACTTTGAAGTGTCAGCGATACCAAATGAAGAAAGGGAAAATCCTCAAAAGTTCAGTATTGATGACAAGTGCAATCTCCATTTCCAAATGCCTTCACCAGAGAGTCTGTGAACTTTGCTCACTATGTTCTCCCGTCATCAGTGAACAGGCAGGCCGGCCGATGGGAAGTGTACTCACAAACAGCCCCCTTCACACGACTTGAATCAGCTGAGAGGAGTGACACGCCGGTGCAGTGACACGGCAGCAGAACGTCCAGGATGGCAGGAAGGCGACGAGGTCGAGGAAACAACGTCCAGCAGCAGCAGGCCCTGCAGAACCAGAGGCAAGGCCCTCGTGGGGTGAGTCCTCTTCTGTCAATATGAAACGTGGCCACTGTTTACTCTCACACTTCAAATAAAGATCATGTGGGAATAACCAGTCCTGTAAAACAGATTCTGGTTGTCTGGCTTTTGCACGTTATTTAAAAAGATCTGTAAAAAAAAAATGAAAAGTATAAATCCAACTTATTATTACAACAGGCTTTGAATATTACAGAGGGAAATATTTCCTCTATGACTATTTGACCAGGGAGTGGAGAGATTACTGATTAGTTGATGGGAAACAATGTGGCAGTGACTCAGTTGAGTGTTGTATAGTAATACATTGATGATCATTCTGAAGTGATATTAAGCAGTTGTTTGCTATGATAAAATTTGTTTCAGTTCGCATTGCTCTAAAAAATTAGCTGCATATTAATATGTAACATTCGTGCCTTGACTGCAGAAACATCCATCATACACTAAAGGCTTGAAGGTGTAAAGAGGGAAATA